TATATTCCTATTTACTTCATTCAGATGGACCAATGCTATTATTAGTCCTTTCAGTTTCAAAGTATTACATTCCATACTTAACAGATGTTTTAGACCATAACTATTCAGTCAGCTATGGGAATACTCTTTTTGGATAGCAGAGTAGGTAACTTTAAAAAAAAAAAAGTGCTTTTAATGGATATAGGAATACACTTACTGGAAAATGTTTGATTTGAAGGTATCCATGAGTCAAGTTTTTTGACCACTATTGTTTTGCAAATGTGGATTTCCGGATTAGTGTTAGCTGCTGACCACAGAACACATTTGAGAGCATTTTTTCAGAAAGTGAATCAGTCTGTTCAATCACACATTAAGGTATATTTAATAGCTTTAAGTTCAAACAATTCCAATGTAAGTATTCATTTTACACTTAAAAGAATACAGAAGTGGGGTGGTGGAAAATTCTATAGAAAAAAAAAATCCAGCCATATTCACATTATCCAGAATATTTTCTGCATTGCTTGAGGTTCAGCAAATACACTAAATGACAATGACTATAAATACCCCAGAATAAGAGCAAAACCAGTGTTTATGCAATAAGCTCAAATTTCAGTCACAGAAGTCTTACTCATTTGATATACAATTTTAATTAAGTCCTGTTATTACTGAAATGCCAACTTCATGATACTTAAAACACATGCAGCTACTAGAGGCTGGTACATTGACACAAGTAACTGACAGCAAGTATAGTAACAAACTCAAGGGTACAGCAAACTTCTCTAGTATCAGAGCAAATAGTACTTCATACCGGCAAACCCTCACACATCAAGGAATTACAAACACAAATAATCACTAGTGTTTACTGTTGTAAGTCTGTAGGTTCAAATGTCCACTAGATTTGAGAAACATCTACGACTAAAAATATTGAACCCAGTCTTTCTATAGCTTCTTGGTGAAAGAACAGTCTTTAGTTGCCTTCTGCCCCTACCCTACAAGTGAAAGCAGAGGAAACCTTGACCCTCCTATCCTCCTCTAAATTATTTTCTCTTCAATGCTGAGGACGAAAAGAGCTATTTTGATGAAGGTTGGAAGCCAGTAATTTAAACTAAGACTGTAAGTTCTATTAGAAAAGTGTCCTCAAACACGCACACCTGAATGCCCAACTAGTGTCAAGAACTAAACTGGGCTATCAATGTAAAAAATAGCTTATTTTACTTGGGACTAGGGATTTGGAAGTTTCAGAGGCAAAAGGCTCACTCAAGTTGTGTAATCCAGGAGTGGGAAGAAGCATTCCATCCAGTGTAGACAAAGTGTGATTATGAAACAGCACAGCACTAGTGATAGTATGTACTTTAACCCATCGGAAGTGCCTGTCCTGTGAACCCAGTTAAATTACTGCAATTGGGTCCTCCCTGGTGGCACTATGGGTTAAAGAGCACTAGGAAGCTATCAGCAGACACTGTAGCACAAGTTCAATCCCTGGCAGGCAGGTGACCCACATGGCGCAGGAGACCTCTCCTGACCTGTCTGCTGCTCCCCTCAGCAGTGTATTTCAGTCTATCTGCCTGTTCTGCTCCCCTCTCTGCCTCTGAATCCTCTCATGCCCTGCACTTCTGGCCTATACCCCAGTTCTTGTATATATTTTTAAAAAATTAGTGCAATTACAAGACTACACATTAGGAGAGATAATAAAAGGAAAGACAAGGGAAGACGTATTCATGATGAAATCCAGAATGCAAACTGTTTAAGGAAATGAGTGAAGTTTCTTAGCAATCAAATAACAGTTTAGGAAATAATTAGTTTAGGAAAGCTGTGAGCACCTTTTTGTAAGCCTTAACATGGCAGCTGCAGCTCTGAAACTACTAGAAGTATGGTGGAGATAAAAACTTGGACACAAGTACAGATTAATAGGCACAAATGAGAATGCCTTCAGAACATAAACAGAGTAATCAAAAAAAAAGAAAAGAAAAAATAGTTGCTAGTAGTCTTTAAAATGCTACATGGAAAAAAGGCCTGAAGTTAATGGATTTGGCAACTGGAAACATAAGGGCACAGTGATTAAAAGCACCAAACACATTGTTTCCACTTATTTGAAAATGGACTCTAAGACACAGTGAAGCTAGAAATATTCTGAAAATTAACTTAAAATCTGACTTCCTATTTAGTTCCTCTTGGAGAAATAAAAGTTGCTCCCAGGGAAAAGGTGCTAGTACTTACACATAAAAAGAGACCCTTGAAGTTACTCAAAACATCCATTTTATATGTGGAGTGGACACAAGTTTTTAACTTTAAAAAATAATGGCACCACTTAGATCAGCTTGTTTCTCAGTTCATTCACACGCAGTTACTTAAGTGAAAAAACAGTGAAAAGTTGTTAGGTAAACAAAATGAGTTAAAAACTCAGTCTTCAAACAACTAATGGCCAACAACTAAGACTAAAAGGAAAATCTCATTCTAGACGTCAGGTTAAACCCATCTTTGCAGGGCCAGCAAACTTTTCCTCTTAGCACCACATAAAGGTATTCTGTCAGTCTTCAAATAACTCCCCACTTCCACTTGACACAACCCAAGGGGAAGTATCTTTTAACTAGTTTAGTTGATAAGTACTTAACTAGTTGGCCCAAGTGGAAGTAATAAACAATTATTATTTCACAGACTGCCAATACAGACCTTGAGAAATTTTGAGCTGCTGGAGATCTTCACCTATCAAGGCTTCAAAGACTTAAAATTTGTATGTCTACAAAAAATGACTGAGAGAAACAGTGCAGGGTTCTTAACATTTACCGAAAGTTGTAATTTCATCTTTTATTTTTAAAAAACAAAAGGAAATAGGCTAAAATGACTGAAAACAGCCTTACAATTCCATACAGATTACAACGCTAACAGGTTTTATTCTCTATTACCAGTAACAGCTAAATTTAATTTGAAAACCAAACCCACTAAGATTACACATTTTTGCAGGAGACACAGAGGATACTGGAAAAACTACAGGTGAAAAGAACGTTTGGAAGGGGCCCTCACAATTCTGAGTGTATTTCTTGGTTTCTTGTAACTTTTAGGATATTACATGTTCCTTGGTGGTATTTACACCTTTATACTTGCTCCCAAGTCTGTGCATATTTTTCTATTCGGATCTGAGAGACTCGACATTTTCTCAGAATACCTGCCACTCCTCGGCGTGGGGGCCCAGGGGCTAGTATCTGCGGGCCACGCAGTCCAGTGGCTCCCAGGGACTCCCAGCTGATTCCGATTCCCACATCAAGGACTTGCCACCTTACGTAAGTCTACTTTGCGAGAAGAAAGGCAGATAAGAAAAATAGGGCGCCAAACCTTCCCCTCCACCAGCAGCCGTCACGCCCCACAGGGAGTGTCCCTCGGGGGCTTTCCCCCGGGAGCCGCAGCTGTTAAGCCTGTGGGGGAGGGGAAGGGCTCGCAAACAGTCATCTCTTCCTCTTCTGGCCGCCAACGCCGACCGCACCACCGTCTCCGCCCAAGCTCTTTCCCCTCCCCCGCCCCAGCCTGGGCCTGAGCCAAACCCCACAGGAATGCAGCCCGGTCACATGCGCTGCGGCGGCGGTGGACGTGCCTCTCCCCCCGCGCCCCAAGGAGACCCAGCGCCATCTTGCCCTGACGCAGTTACAAAAGTCACGAGAGAAATTGTGTCTCCTCCTCCGCGCCAGCGCCCCAAAGTTTCGCAGAGGCCGAGCCGGGGCCCTCACCTCGCGCAGGGACAGGAGAAAATGGTCAGGGAGGAGTCTTGCGAGTCCCTTCGCCACTGCTTGAGTTCCACATCGGCCGCGGCAGCAACGATCACCATCGTCACTTCTCCCTCTCTGCCTTTGCAACAGCCTCCCCCGACGGTTCTCGCCCCACCCGCTGCTGCAGCATGAGGTCATCGCTAACCAATCACAACGCGCCCGACAGCGCACAGCAGGCAATGATTGGCTGCAAGGACCGCCTCTGCCTCTCCCCACTCCGCTCGCCCAGCGCTCAGGGTCGCGGTGGGGCTAGAAGACGGAAACCGCCATTTCGGGGAAAGACCCCCCGAAAACAAAAACCGGAATCACCGTGTCATTTTAGTGGGGAAACCCTTGTTTTATTCCTTGGTCTCCCCTTTTCTTCGAGATAACCGTCTCTTCCCCTCCCTCGTATAATCACCGCCACATAAAGGAATTCCCGTTCCCCTCCCCGCACATTGTCCGGCCGGCGGGGAAATTCTTCCCCGGGGCCAAGAGAAGTAGGAGGCAGCAACGGAAACTGCACCGACGGCAACGGCAGCTTTTTACCCCGATACACGGTGGCAGGGAGGCGGCGCTGACGGCTGTATTTTTCCTGTCGCTTCTCCCCCCGACCTCTTCTGTTTCTTGCTCCTCCATCGAGACGGCGCTGGACTCGCCAGCTCCGCTTTTATTTGGTGCCTGGAGCCTGCGCACTGGAACCTCCTCAGCCCCTAGTGGGCGTCGATTGACACCCCAACCAAGTTCACCCGGCACTGGAGGCCAGACTGGGGAGGGGGAAGAGGAGGTGGGGGAAAGTGCATCACTGGGGGTTAGGGGGAAGGGTCTTTCCCGGGGCCTACGGTCATTATTTTTCCACCCGGTAGTGGCATGCTCATGCTCACCGACATCCAGACTTGAGGGATACTAAGGGAAAAAAGGGGTAAAGAACCAACCCCACCAAATAGCGAAACTTCCGCAAACCTTCGGGTAATTGTTGGAGGGCACCTGTTGTGAAAAAAGACGGAGGTTCTTGTCCACCTCACTGCTTCCAGTTGACTATCTTCGAGCCTCTGCGGAGAGGCAACGGCAGCGGGCGGCAGCCCACAAGCAAAATGGCGGCGGGCAGCTTCGTCCCCTCCCCCTCTGCCCCTGCGGAGCGGGGCGGGCGT